CTCTCTTAGTCTCGTTATAGTTTTATCAAGAAGAACGTTAAATTATTTCAGCCACGACTTCCATGGGAGTAAGTAGTCAGCTTACCTCCTACTCTCTGCAACCCCGTGCGCCATTTTGTTGAGCTCTTCATGTTCTTCGCTAGGATTTTCAACACGGTTTATAAACACACGTCGTGGTGCTACAGGCGACTCTGGACTAGAAAACGCCATCAATAACTGTTGATCTAGAAATCAGTCAATGAATTCGTTACAAACGTGTTCCTCACGAATGTGTTCAATATTTCTACTATCCGGTTCCCGCATTTTTATTTTCCTACCGCTGAACAGCACGGGCGCATACATCAAGACCATGGTGCATTGCCAGACGAGCCAATTCTTTTCAATCTGGAGCCCAGCGTCATTTTGGTTCCTTGTCGAGGGTATGATCATCAAATAATAACATAATTATGTCATAATTAAGGTAGGTACGTCATGTATGAGGAATTATTAGGATATAATATGTAAAGTTAGGACATAATATGTAATAACTCCCCACATGTGACGTAGCTATGATTATTATTATTATTATTTGATTATTTGGCGACCGTACCGCTGACAAGTAGCCGAAATGACCCTGGGCTCGTTGCATTTTCGAGTTTTGTTTCGAAAACAAAAAAACAAAGCGAGTTCAGACCAGTGCTCATGGGAGGAAAGTCGTATAAATAAAGAGGTAAGGAGATTTAAGCGGTTTGACTTCGGGGTCTTCAGGGAACCGATGGACAAGGTATGGTAAGACTTTTGTTTGGGATAAGTTCCGTTCTGATCGAGTAGGGTATTAAAATAGTTTGGCGCGAACTTGTCAAAACCTTTCAATTTCTGAAAACTAACAAAAGGGGCCAGCGCGTAATGAGTAAAGTCAAAGTCCGGAAATGTCCTAATCGTTTTTAGAATGTTAAAAAAAAAATTTTGACCAGTTTCTAGTGCTTGAAGGACTTAACGGTCCTTAGCCTTTGAATGTATGTTTCCGTGTTCAAGGTCATTTGGGCGCGAAAACTAACTGATTACTTCATGACTTAAGAATTTGGGACACTTCGCAGCTCAAGTAAAATTCTCGGAATGGATTACCCCAAGCCGAGGTGAACTGGCATTGCTGATGAACAAGCAAAACCCTGACATTTTCCGGAGAAGTCATACTCATATTTTTTTTTTATACTCTCGAAGATTAATTGATAATAGTTTCCTGCACAATTTTACCAGATCTGGCGGATACTATCAAGTAAAAATGGCCACAAAAGCGGATTTTATAATCTGTAAACACGATTAAATCGCATGTTGCGAAGTGTCAGCCTCATTTTATAGTAGCAAATGTTTCTAATATTATTTAATGCGTCATGCATGCAGAGGCAAGATTTGTATCTCTGAGAACCAGCCCGCCCATGGGTTTGATTTTTATTACTCACCCCACCCTACAAGAGACAGTCACGAACATTCCAGTCTACAAACTGATGTCTTTTGAGAACAAAAGAAGGGATGATCCTCACTTGACTGAATTCGAAATTCCAACTTAATTTATCCAGACTGAGTGACTCGATCCGCCAAGTATTATTGATTACTAGAGGGTCAGACCACCACCGGTGTCAGAGGATGACATTTATCCCCTGGTTTATCTGGCACAGCTGGGAAGTAATGGCTTTCCGTTTCACCTTGCTACGGATGAGTTGGCAAAGAAAATGTCGCTACTTATATTTTCAATTTGTTTCTCAGCTGCGTGAAAAAAATCGATTGGCTCAGAGGAAGAATTTCATAAATCCATGTAGCCAAGATGCCTCAAAGATGGGTCTTTGAAAAATAATATTCCCAGTGGTGTCTCCTTTCACGAAACCTACTTAGATGTTTGATTGATTTTCGTTAATTTGTAACGAGCTTGTTATTTAACACCATTGTCATTACGTTCCGAGATTTTTTCAGGGTCATGCCTTTCTAAAAACATTATATTATATTTCACGTATTCGTGTCGTGGGCGCTTCATGAATGCAGAGTTACAACGAAATTATCGCCAGCAATGAGCGAAGATTTAAATGCAAGTTCTGCTGCTGGAACTAAAGAACTGTCACCAACAGTCGTCGGGATTCAGTCCACAGCCATCTTTTTGCTTATGGTTTCTTCGTTGATATGCAATGCCCTGGTAGGATTTGTTCTCGCTAGAAAACCGGAATTGTTGTCACATTCTTCCAGCAAGCTTCTCATGAACTTGACTGCATCTAGCTTCATCTTTTCGCTTATCGTTTTGCCATTTGTTTTTGCTTCGTCTGTGAGACAGGACTGGTTGTTCGGCAAGGCTTGGTGTCAAACTAGCGGTTTTCTAACAGTTTTACTCTCCGCAACATCTTTGGCAATGGTAATGTTTTTAAGCATCGATCGTTATCACTGCATAGTGAATCCGTTAACTTACGCTACCAGAATGTCACCAGCACGCACAAATTTTTTCATTTTGTTTTCATGGCTGGCATGCTTGTTCTTGGCTTCGCTGCCTCTCGTCGGCTGGGGAAAATATGGCTATGAACACGCAAAATTTTCTTGCACTGTTATTTGGAGTGACACGATAAGTGAGGGCTATACGAAACTTTATTCCGTTGTGACTTTGTTTGTGCCATTGCTGGTCATGATAGTGACCTACTATTATATTTTAAAAGCTGCTCGTCGACAAGCTCGAGTAGGGCAAATAGCGGTTCTGCCTGCGACAAATGTGGGTCCAAGGACAAACCGCAACTCTATAACATCAAACACGAGTGCGTTTAGCGGATCAAAAGCCTTGCGTACAACTTTTCTTGTTCTAGGGATGGTAATATTTTGTTGGGGTCCATACGTGATAGAGATTATTCTAGAATCGGAGCGAGTGCTTGTGCGGTATGAGATACAGACTACGTTTGTGATGGTGTCTCATTCAAGCGCATTACTGTATCCTGTTATTTATGGATTTCACATAAGAGCGATCAGACGGAGTATCAAGAGACTTGTAACCTCGAACTTACGGTGTGGTAATAATTTTTTTCGACCCTCCAGCGAAACGGGATTTGTCGTATCACCCCAGGCAATGTTCAGAAATAGATCGGCTTCGGAGGGTTCTGTGAATTCGTTCGACATGGCCTGGTCGCCCCGGCGAGAGAGCGAGAGTCTGTGGACATTGCCAGCGATCAAAGAAGAGATTGAAAATCAACCCACAAACAGAACTCATTCGACCGAAGTCACAGACCTAGAGGTTTTCAATCTTCCGGGTAGCTGCGTCTAAAAACAACTCAAGATTTTCTGCGCTATTTAAAACTGACAAATACATAACTGAAAAATAAAAAAAAAATTTGCGAAGAAGATTACCATTGTTATTAACATCCCTGTGATGTTTGTCGTGCCTGGAGCCGGAATGTTTGAAATATTCTTCACGAATCCTATTGAAAACTACTCGAGAAGTCAATCAGTTTTCTCTACAGCTTTCAAAAGCATCAGAGGGAGATGTTGATCCATAGCTATAAAAGTAAAAGCTATATTTCTAAACAAATGGCATTAGTTGTTTCCATCACATATACTGGCATCTTCACACCGGAAGTGTCTGGGTGGCCTTTTCCCGCCAAATTGGCGTCCACGGAATGTTTAGATTGGACGCGGGAGGACACGTTTCCTCTTTCGGTGTCAGGTTCTGCTATTTGTCACACAGACCACCCAGTCTGGCGTGAAATTCTTGCCAAAACGGATAGGAAAAGGCGTGCGGTCTTCTCACTTTTAGACTTATCCACTAAGTTTAGCCTGTTAACCACGTAATTCAATCTCACTCCAAGGATTACTCTTCTCTGCTTCTCTTCTTTCGGAAGTCGGGGGAGGAAAAAGTAGAAGATCAGCGACCCTTAGGACTGGGTCACTTAACATTTTTAAAATTTATGGGTGACTTTCCGCTTTTTTAGCGAAAAAAGTTGTGCAAACTGATGATCTAACCCTCCAACCACCAA